TCTTATTTGATTTGTGTTATTTGCAGGACCTAAGTACCAGGAGGATTATTATCAAGGGACATGAGAGAGATGGATTGTATTATCTAGGCGATCCGCCTCCAGTTTCACCAGTTCCTCCACCTACATCACCTGCACCTGCTTTATCTTTATCTATTCCTATCTTGCATGCTAGTATTTTACCTAGTAATTGTCGTTATGATTTTTCGTCACAAACTGTCCAGTTGTGCATGACCATTTTGGACATACAAATTTTAAATATTTATGCATGTTGTTTCCTACTTTGAGCAATGCTTGTGTTGGTGATAAACTTGACTTTGTTAAATGTTCCCTATCAAAACATGTTAGGACCAGTTATATTCCTCGCAAGCACCAGTCACCCAAGCCATTTGACCTAATATATTCTGATATTTGGGGACTCTCTCCTGTTACTGCTCTGTCAAGTGCCCGATACTATGTAACATTTATAGATGATCATACCCGTTGTACTTGAATCTACCTTTTGCATAGAAAGTTTGATGTACTCCCTATAATCACTCAGTTTCTACAGATGATTAAGACACAATTCGATGTTATTGTTTGTGCTCTTCGTTCAGATAATGCCAAGAAATATGTGTTTGATACCTTAGTGTCTCACCTTTCTTCTTAGGGTATCCTTCAGCAACTCACTTGTCCATATACTCCTGAGCAAAATGATGTTGCTAAAGAAAAAATAGGAGTCTGATAGAGATGGTACGTTGTATGCTTAGAGGCATGGGGGTGCCAAAATCTTATTGGTATTTTGCTGTTTTGACTTCTACCTTTCTGTGTAATCGTACACCGAGTCGTGTTCTTTAGCATAGGGCTCCTTTACAGGTTTTTTTCCTGAGTGAACACTTTTTTTTGTCCCCCCTCGTGTTTTGGATGTACATGGTTTGTTCAAGATTGGTCTCCTACTCATCATAAGCTTGGTGATAAAGCAATTCGTTGTATCTTTGTGGGCTATTGCAATCAGTCTAAAGGGTATCGGTGATATGATCCTGTTAGGCGTCGTATGTATCACAGTCCAGATGTTACCTTTCTTGAGTATATTCCTTATTTTTCTTCCAATCTTATATCTGCCCCTCTAATTGATGATACTTCCTTTGATTTTCCATTACCCTTGGAGCCAGAGCCATTGGTCACTATCACTACAGACTCATCGGTCTCTCTTCCTCCAGAGCCACTCATCCCTGGTACAGAGTCACCGGCCACTCTTCCTTTGTAGGTTTATGTTCGTCGCCCTCGCTCTCATCCCCCCCTACTGATGTCCCCTCTACCTCAAGCGATGCAGGTAATACTTCTCAGTTTGTTGAGCATATTGATGCACCTGTTGTTAGTACTGATGAGATTGTAGGTATTGAGCCAATTGTTTTACATGATGAGACATTGTCCGTGGAGGATGATGATTTAGAGTGTCGTTATCTGTGACGTGATCGTCGTCCGATTGTTCGTTATGGTTGGACTGCCAATATTTTATACCCGATCTCTGCTTATGTTTCTTATGGTGATTTGTCTCCTACATTTCGGGCTTATAGTATGGCTTTATCAGATACGCCGATTCCTCATTCTGTTTCAGAGGCTATGCAGGAGCCCTAGTGGGTTCTTGTCATGCAGACAGAGATGGACGCTCTTCAACATAATCATTCATGGGATCTTGTCTCTTTACCTTCAGGGGTGAAGCCTGTTGGCTATCACTAGGTTTACACCCTGAAGTTTCTTGCGGATGGTACTATTGATCGTCACAAAACTAGGCTTGTGATGAAGGACTTTACTCAAGTGCCAGGTCGTGATTTTGGTGCTACCATTGCCCCCGTGGTAAAATTGACTACTGTTCGACTAATTATTTCTCTGGCCACAGAGTACTGTTGGTATCTTCATCAATTGGATGTGAAGAATGCATTTCTTCACAGTGATCTGGACAAGATTATTTATATGGATGCACCATCGAGCTTTCGTGGTGAGGGGGAGTATCTGGAAAGGTATGTCGATTGCGTAAGTCTCTTTATGGACTGAAACAGTCACCACGAGCCTGGTTCTCTCGCTTTAATGATGTAGTTGTACGTTTAGGGTTCACCAGATGTCATTCTGATCATACCTGCTTCATTCGACAAAATATTTCTGGACAGTGTGTTATCTTTTTGGTATATGTTGATGATATTATTATTACTGGAGATGATATTTCTGGAACTGCACAGGTCAAGGTAGACTTTGGGAAGGCCTTCGATGTGAAGGACCTTGGATTTTTGCGATACTTTCTTGGGATTCAGGTTGCCCGTAGCAACAGAGGTATTATTCTTTCTCAAAGAAAGTATGTTCTGAATCTTTTCTCAGACACTGGGATGCTGGGGTGCAAACCGGCATCATCACTTATGATTCTTAACCTAAAGCTTACTGCTGAAGGTGAGGAGTTGAAAGATCCGTTTGTCTATCAAAGATTGGTAGATAGACTTATCTACCTAGCCAACACTAGGCCAGACATTTCATTCGTTATTAGCCAAGTTAGTCAGTTTATGCATAGACCATGTCAACCTCATCTTGATGTCGTTTATCATATTTTTTGGTACCTCAAGTCTTGTCCTAGACTTGGGTTGTTTTATGCATGAGGATCTCAGACTGGTCCTCTAGCCTATTATTTAGATTCAGATTATGGAGGAGCATANTAGGTAGACTTATCTACCTAGCCAACACTAGGCCAGACATTTCATTCGCTGTTAGCCAAGTTAGTCAGTTTATGCATAGACCATGTCAGCCTCATCTTGATGTCGTTTATCATATTTTTTGGTACCTCAAGTCTTGTCCTGGACTTGGGTTGTTTTATGCATGAGGATCTCAGACTGGTCCTCTAGCCTATTATTTAGATTCAGATTATGGAGGAGCATATGACGGTCGATCTACTACAGGCTTCTGTGCTTTTCGAGGGACTCATCTTATCTCTTGGAAGAGCAAGAAGCAATCAGTTGTCTCTCGCTCGTCAGCAGAGGCAGAGTATCGGGCACTGGCACTTANGAAGCAATCAGTTGTCTCTCGCTCGTCAGCAGAGGCAGAGTATCGGGCACTAGCACTTGACACATGTGAGATTATCTGGCTACGATCGATTCTTGGCGAGTTGGAATTTTCAGTGACTTTTTCATTTACATTATATTGTGATAATCAATCTGCTATTCAGCTTGCTTCTGACTCTGTATTACATGAGATNTATATTGTGATAATCGATCTGCTATTCAGCTTGCTTCTGACTCTGTATTACATGAGATGACGAAGCATATAGAGATCGATGTTCACTTTCTTCGGGAGAAGGTTAGCAGTGATATAGTCACTCCATCGTTTGTGAGGACCAGTGATCAGGTTGCAGATGTTTTTACCAAACCCGTCACTCTATCTATTTTTCGGGATTCTATTGTCAAGCTTGACTTGGTTGCATTTTTGTGTNGATGTTCACTTTCTTCGGGAGAAGGTTAGCAGTGATATTGTCACTCCATCGTTTGTGAGGACCAGTGATCAAGTTGCGGATGTTTTTACCAAACCCGTCACTCTATCTATTTTTCGGGATTCTATTGTCAAGCTTGACTTGGTTGACATTTTTGTGCNGTTGCAGATGTTTTTACCAAACCCGTCACTCTATCTATTTTTCGGGATTCTATTGTCAAGCTTGACTTGGTTGCATTTTTGTGTCTAACTTGAGGGGAAGTGTTGGAGATATAGTAACAACCTAGTTTATTAGGGGTTATTAAGTTTTTCTCTTTATATGGGGCTCTACACTTAATTTGTATCCCTTTTTTTCACACACATTCATTCCAAGTGTATCCACAAGTTCAAATGACATCTAATTCTAACACTTCTCGATAAAATAAAATAAAAACTAAAAAATTAAAAAATTGGTTACTTACTTTGTTTAAACTTGATAGAAACTTCACATAGCCTTTAAGCAGAGTAAAAAGTGATCCGACTGTTTCTCAGTTCTTTAATGTGAATTGTTGCTGAATTAGCATGCTTTTCACGAGCGCTCAATTTACATCTCCTTTTGCTTGTAACTTGAACTGTTTACCCTGTAAGTACATAACTAGTGCATTTGCTTCCCAGTCTTGCCCATTAAAGTTGACAGCAACAAAAATAAGTATAGTAAAGANTGCTTTTCACGAGCGCTCAATTTACATCTCCTTTTGCTTGTAACTTGAACTGTTTACTCTGTAAGTACATAACTAGTGCATTTGCTTCCCAGTCTTGCCCATTAAAGTTGACAGCAACAAAAATAAGTATAGTAAAGAAGCAGTTAAAACTTAAAAACCCACCAACTGTGACAGAATAATAATAAACGAGCACTTAAAACATAAGAATACCAACTAATTTCCACATGAACAGTTGAAACAACACAATTAGCTGACAATGCATTTTCAAAGCTTGTTTTCTTTACATAAGTGCTACACAGATTTACACTCCAAGAAAAAAAAAATGCTAAATTATTCATCACTCATGGATAATCACCGATACATATTTGGGGTGCGTAATTTTGCACCAAGGAATGTGCATAGCCTAGAAAATGACATGATTGCTTTGCTTACCAAAAATGCCGGGGCCATAGGTGGATTTGATCATATCTACATGGAGGGGAAATTGCAAGGATGCAAACAAGATCACAGGTAGACTGGCCAACACAGCCACGAGAGCAAGAATCCATGTTTTTTTATCTCCAAAAACAATATAAAGTGTGGCTCCAAAGGCTACCATCAGAAATATTATGGAAAGAAATAGGGTCACAAGACCTATAGTCAGTCTCTTGGGTAGCGCATAGAGAAAGTCACCTTCTGCATAACGTGAAGTGAGGATGGACAAGAACATTAACAAAGAAGAACTTGATGAGAAAATTGCAAGGGCATCTGATATGGCAAACACTGTGAAGGCTTTTTCTTTGGAGAAAACTGGAAGGCCAGCACTATTGTTTCCACCTGGTACAGTAATGGCAGCAGCAAACACAACTGTAATAATTAATGCTGCTACAATTGTGCATGAATTGGATGTGTCTTTCATCCATTGCTCTCCTTCTTTAATTAACTCCTCATGTGTCTCTGTAAATAACATCCTTGGTGTCTTCTCCTCGTCTTTCTTCCGTTCTCTAGCTGTAACCAGAGTAAAATTTTCTACTTCCTACATAATTGGTGATTTTTGAATTAGAAAGCAAGTCTGCAATGCATCGAGTGATTCTTTATAAATATCCAAGGCAAAATTTCTTTTGTAGGTATCATTACTCCACAAATTAATAGTTAAATGATATGCACATAAAACGTTTAGAATTTAACAAAAGAAATTGCAATGACAATCCCTAATAAATTTAGATTTATCATGTTGATACTTCAAACAATTCAAGGATTTAACAACACCACCCTCTCCTTGGAACAAATATTAGTAATGTTAACAGAAATGGCTTGCATCATCAAAATTCATCAAAAAATGCCAGTTTCCTCATTTAAAATACATTAACTCCAAATCCAAAACTTAGCATTGAAACAAAATAACCCATATCCAAACACCTTCCTCTCTCTCTCTCACACACCCCCCCCCCCCTCCCCCAGCGAGGGCAGGTGGCATACACAAGGATATACAGCAACACACAACAGAATATTGGTAGTGTTTTTTCTCTTGAGTTGCGATGTTTGAGCTCATACAAAAGTGGGTCTTGGTCTCTTGGAAACTCTCAAACCCACAAATTGGTGGATATGGTAGGGATTGCACAGAAGTAGATGGCTATAGATAGGTGGTTAGAGAGAGGGAGTAGGGGGGAGAGAGAAAGTCTGGAATAAATGCGTTCGTACTAGTGGTCTTGGTTCTGGCCTCGTCCTCAACTTTGATTAATTAGTTGGCTATGTTGTTGGGCTTAGGTTGGTCTCAATATAGTAATGTATTGATTGTTCGTGGAGTCATAGGATGGAGGGGTTGGATTGATTGTTGATTTCTGATGGCAAAAAGTAGTGGTTGTTGTGAGATTGGAGGAGAATTGTTGCGGCAGGCAGAGGGAAGGGTTTGACTGTTGCTCTCTTCTATGTGCTTTCTTTTTGTCAAAAATAAAAAAAATTAACCAATCAAATTAGGGGTAAATAAGTAATATCATCCCAATCATTTATGTCAACAAGGATATGATCAGATAATTAACTCATAGATAAGGATTTGCCACTGAATTTACTATTATATCAACTTAGTCCAACTGAGACACACAGTATAGAGAGAAACATACTAATTACTTCAACCATATGCATGTTTCAGACGGCAGATTAATTCAATTAGTATAACTGCGTGCAGCATGTGCATTATGATAGTTATGAACTCATTACGTATGTAATTTTCATGCCCAAAGAGTGTGTGTGTGTGTGTGTGGACTGTGTTCATGAAAAGTCAGTAAGAGGAAGGTTATTTTCACAATTATGTGTGGTATCTTAGGCTATTAAAAGTATATGGATTAAGTTCATACAATGCTTTCATCACATAGAGTGCTGTCATACTTGTTTAAACCCACCTCGAATAATGTTAACTATGTTTTGAAAATCCTCAAAGGGATTTCGACTATGCTTATTACTATAATGTGAAAATATGTCAATCAATTGCTTTGAAGTCATAGGCTAGTGTATTGTTTTGTCAAGTCTAAGTTATTTACCTTGCCTACACTGATGTAATATGTTTGTTTCCATTGCTATGGAGATATGAACTAGGTGACATTCGATATGTACGCTAAGACAAACAGCAGCATGAGCCATAAGTGAGTTAAGATACTATCTAAGTTTGTATGATGGATTTGCTAATATGAATCTACTATGTAAGTTTCAGGAAAACGAAGATCTGAAGCCTTGAAGATACATATTAAGGACATGTTTAATGAAGCCTGTAAGCTCTTATCTACTTGGGTAATGATATTAGGATTCCAGATTACTTTATCTGTTAATCCTAACACCTATTCTTAGTAATTGAGCGTTGATTAGATCAAATATTCAAATCCTGCTCTTAGTGTTGTGAGAGGATAAGGCTTCTCTCTAACTTTTCTTCTGCTCTTATTATCCAATAACCTATGAGCTTATCATATCAGCAAAGGGAGCTAGACACCGACCACTAAGGAGCATTGTTCAATAATCACATCTACCTAGCGTAGATAACCAAGCTACACCAAGTAGGGCAATGCTTGCTTAAGCACAATGGAAATGAAATGAAATATATTATTTTCCTATTATAAAAAAGATTCATTTGTTACCTTAAACCACTGTAATTCAAGCTGCATCTGTAGAGCTGCACCAGCGGCACGAGCTCTGAGATTCAGTTTCTGTTGACTTTTGAAACGACCAGCCAAATGTAGACCATTATTCATTGTGATATCTACTCTGGAGATAAATAGGTTGCTAAATTCCTTGAATTGATAAACCAGATTGAAAATATTTTCACGACGATTCACAATTGCAAGATGGAAAATTGTTTGGTTTGACTTATTTTTAAGATAAATTGCACCACGAAATGAACTTAAAATCTCTTCAACAACTTCACGACACCCAGCAATTGCTGCAACTTCTAGTGAAACTCCAAATATTGACGCAGCTTTTGAGTAATCCAATTTCACAATTTCCATACAAAGGAGTTTCACAAGTTGAACTTCTTGATGATGTATCACTTTTATCTCTTGGATGTGCTTGATCTGTGGCACTGCAATCAAATGAACTTAGGGCAAGATAACAACAATATTTAATGTGGATATGAACATGAAGTAGCCATTAGCCCTTACATACCTAATTTTCCTGTAAGTTTCCAGAATTTTGAATGCAAATTTTGCACCACTGTACATAACCATAACAACCAAGAATTAAATTGTTTGCCACGAAAAAACGAAAAATCAAAAAATTCGTATGTACAAAATCTGGTAGAAGAGTTTAGTAAACAAATCTCTAGAATACAATTTCCATGTGTAGTGCATAGTCTTCCACAAGGGAAATAAAGTAATGTCGAGCCAGCTAACTTGGATTACTAGACCCTGAAAATAGCTAGTTTTGTACAAGCCCCGGTCCCATACTAACAGATTTGGACATAGTACGGTGCTCAAATCGACATCATTACGGACTACAACAGCCTGAGGCCCTCGCCTTCAAAAAGCTACATAAACTTCATGTAGTTTGTGGACTAAAACACATACTTAACGCCGTCAAGGGAAAGATCTATAACCCCGCTTCTTCTCCGGCAGCTCCCGCCTCCGCTTCTCAAAACCCAGTGAAACAAAAAATAATCATCCTGTGCATATCAAAACCTAGTGAAACAAAAAATAATCATCCTATGCATATCAAAATATGCTCCTGCACAGATCTCATCCTCACTTGCATTCACCAAACTTTTAGAATTTCTAACCAATAAATATTATTTTTTGAAAAATTAGGTAGCAACCAAATGCAGCTGAGTGGAAGCTAAACAAGTGCTTTGCACAATATCGGTTTGTAATTCTACCAACAAATCCTCACTCTCCATAATTCACAACAACTTTCGAACATCTAAAATCAAAACTTGAAAAATGAAATAGCGGGGAGTGAATCGAACCTAAATCAAATCAACCTGCTGGAAATCGAATTGGATCCAGTACAAATCAAATTCCAGAAAACTAATCAAATGAAATCGAATTGAAATGGAACCGCACTATATTGCAACCAAAATAGAATAGAAGAAAAATAGCATACAAATCAAAATCAAAATTAGAGAAGCAGTCAACCCCTATTCTATTTTGCCATCACCAGCGTCACTCGTTCTGTATGTGTGACTGGTTCTCGCCTTCACCATCCTTCATCAGTTGTGCACGCCTCTGCAAGTACATTTGTAATCGTTCCTTTTAATTTTATTTGCGCGATGTTTGAAGTGGGTTTGTTGAAGAGGGATGCTACTGATGATAATGGATGGGGAGTACGGGTGTGTAAGAATCTAAAATTCTGACTTCGGTCCGCCTCTGTCAGAAACAGAGGTAGAGTTATAAATCCTTTCCAAGAAAACCTCCGACTCCTGACTTTGATTTTTATTAAATAATAATTTTATATAAATTATAAATTATATAATATTTAAATTTAAAAACCCAATCTTTGCTTGTTTCTAAAATTTATATCTCTATCTAAGCCCACTGCCCAGGCCCACTAAGAACGGACTCAAGTTTTTTTTTTTTGAGGGGGGCCCAGTAGAGACGCAATGAGATATTTTAATGGGTAAATTGTTAGCGGGTACATCAAATTAGACTTATTTGATAAACAAATGCACACTAAAAAATATATGGTTATTAAATACTTAATTTTAATACTTATTTGTATCCAAGTACATAATTTGAATTTATCTATTTTTATTGTAACATTTTTGCCCTCCATTAATCCACGTGTATTTAATGCATCACTTTTCTTTAGAAAGTGGTGTATTAAACATCTCTTAGTTTTATGGGAGAACTTTAATATATATATATATATATTAATATATGTACATTTTTATATATACATAAATACATATTTATATATATGTATGTATATATATACTTGTTGTTAAATCTCTTATCTAAATTTTAAATTATCTTTTAATGTACCTTGATTCATGCATTAGTTTTTTTAAAAAGTAGTTTTATTTTCAAATTAATTTAATATCCGAATAGTGTAACAGTATAACAATAACAGTGTAACAATAAAAGTATAACAGTGTAACAATAACAATGTAACAATAAAAGTGTAACAGTATAACAAGCTATTTACACAAAATATTATACTATTACATTTTGTCAAAACATTTTGTCAAACATATAGTTTCATATACTTTCATTCAAAATAGTTCATCTCCGTTTTAAATTTGTTACCACATACACAAAACTACTTAACACTATTTTTGTTACAGTGTATTTGTTACACTCTCTTTGTTACAGTGTATTCGTTATACTGTTATTGTTACACTATTATATTATTCGGATATTAAATTAATTTGAAAATAAAACCATTTTCCTAAAAAAAACGAAAACAAAATTACTTTCAAAAAAAAATGCATGAATTAAGGTGCATTAAAGATAATTCAAAATTTAGATAAAAGATTTTACAAGTATATATATATATACATATTTACATGTATTTACAAATACACATGAATCAAGATACATTGAATACGTATTTATATATATTAACAAACACACATGAATTAAGGTGCATTAAAGATAAGAGATTTTGAATTAAATGACCCTAAAATGGACATTTATGTCTTTTTAACTCACATTTTGTTCTATGTATTTTTTTACAATTAAGTCTAATTAGGTGTATCGACTTTCAAAGAATCCTATTTTAATTAAATATCAATCATTCAATAAAATTGTTAATGTCAAATTTTCAAATGTATAGAACCTATTCAAATTAACATCACACAAAACATTGTTGTATTTTTATTTTTGATAAAATCAGTAAAATTAATTGAAATTAGTCAAACCAATTGGACAAAAACTAGATCAACTCATCACATAAGCATTGGAATCCCCTAGTACAACTAGATTTCATTGTACCTTCGAAAAATGCAAAGAGAGAGAGAGAGAGAAAGAGGAGGAAAGTAAATCTCTCGAATACATATTCTATAATGGTTTTAAACTCTATATATATAGTGCTTGAATATATCATAGTTTGTCCTCTTAAATCTAACATTAATTTTATTTTAACCCCAAATTATTAATTCGAAAACATTGCACCATTAACCATTTAAAATGGTTCCAAATTAAAAGATTTGTAAAATGTCAAAATTTACCGATTTATGCAAAATGGTTCAATGTGGTCAAATAAATAGTCGAGCATAAAATAAAATTAAGATTAATATAATTGAAGGATATAAAGTATAATTTAAAGAATTTGAGGGACATAAATTGTAATCAAAAACAAAAATTTAAATGTATGATATATAATTTGCAAACCTTGAGGGGGCCATGGCCCCCTAGGCCATAACTTAGTTCCACCTCTGCAACCCACACACACGTGGTCCACATTTATTTTTCTTCTTCTTCCTCTTCTTCTTCTCTCTCTCTCTCTCCCCTCCTTCCCTCTGACACGCACACACACACACAATTGAGTTGACGAAGAGCAACCCTCCATCTCTCTCAAGTCAACAAGTAGATCAAAGATTTCAACAAACCAGCACCAGCGAACCTCTCTCAAATCTTTGAATGAAGTTGAGACAATAACTCTCTCTCTATGTTTATATATATGTATATATATATTATATTTATGGCCACATTTATGTTTCTTCCTCTCTCTTTTTGTCTCTCTCAAACGACAAGGATGCTCTAAATCTCTCCCTCCCACACACAGTTGAGTCGACGAAAAGCAACCCTCCACCTCCCCGGTCGATGAGCCAATCTTAGATATATTTTGACAAACATTTGACAAATTTTTAATTGTTTATTTTTTATTTTTTTGGATTGTATCTATTCTCGAAACTCTGCTTCACCTCCGAAAAGGTAGAGTTGAGGCGAAGTAATAGTAGTTCGGAGATAGAGGTCAGATGTGTGCTCTCTAACTTTGTCCAAGTCAGAGCCCAACCCTAGTAGGAAGACGGGTTGTTAATGACGGTGGTGGGTGTAGCTTTGCATATCTTTGTTGGCTGATACATCTAGGATAAAGAAGGATAATTTTGTCTTTTTAACTATATTTGTAGAATAAATCTTCTATAATCCTAAATGATATTATAATGAAAATAAAGGGAGAAAATGGTAAAATTGGTTATTTCAATTCCACTATCCAATAGGGCATTCCAAACTGCTAGGTAGTTACATGTGAGAAAAGAATTGAAAAGGCAGTAATATATCGGGGACAAGAATCAAAATTTTATTTCAGTGTATTATTTTGGTCACCTAAGAAACAGAAACGTTTGGTGTATTTCGAAAACGTTTTGACTCGTTTCGAAAATATAACAAAAAAATAAAAATTTTAAAAATTTGGTTCAAAAAAATTGATCGAATTATATCAAAATATCTTAAAATACCTTAAAACATTCCAAAATAAATTGTGCAAATACATTGAAATATTAGAAAATATTTTAAAATATTATGAAATACCTCGAAATATTAGAATTTCGATTTTATCACTAGCTTGTTTCAGTTTCCTTGCAAACGAAATTTTGATCCTTGACCGTAGATAGATTTATTGGAGACCTAATAGGAAATATAGGGATCCGAGAGTATTTGAATAGTCATGGGTGTCTATTTTATCTTTATCTTATCAATTCCTCATCCTATAAATGGCGCCGAGTGTCATTAATTAGTTATCAAATTGTCAGATTATAAAATATCTATATAGCTCTTTGATTCATAGATATAAGTACGGTGTACCGACGTAATTATGTTGTATTGAACCATATATATCTTTTGGTTTTGTTTTATTATTTTTCCTATCCCTATCTCCCAAAAAGTGGTATCCATGTTGAGTAATCGCTGCACAAAACTAGCAAGTGATATCAAAACATGTTGTTAACCACCTCATGTCAACTTAATCAACGCTAGATTGATGACGCTAAGTCATTAGAGCTCAATTGATGATCCTGGATCAACCCAATCAGAGCAAATTGTTGACAATCATGGTTCAACTTTATCATATCAGATTGACTATCATAGAGAAAGTATCAGATTAGAAATATAGGTGGTTATTGTTAAACAACAAGACTTGTTTTTTTGTTATGTTATCTTCTTCATGCCTTTTGGCAATAGAAGTTCTTGGTGTTCAATACTTTTTGATTGCAATAAGCAATCAAAAAGGAGAGGTTCCTCTAGCCCCAAGTGTACAACGTCGTGCAAAGATTGATTTTGTCATGTGTGCACTAAGGAAGTAATCTTAGAATTTTTTGATGAAGTGTATGGATCCCGAACGAATATCATCAAAGCATGTGACTGATGAATTGTTGTAAAACTCAAGCGATGTAGTGTACTAATGTTGAAGATGGTTCTTCAAGAATTTGGGCTCTTACGGTTATAACTATGTTAAGACAATGGTTTGGGAGATACTGGGTCAATATCCGGTCAATATTGATATGGTGTCTCATAGGTTTATGGGTTAAGACTTTATACTTTGATAGATTGATGAAGTAGTTTACCACTGAGTCCTCCTAGGAATAGGTAAGATGCGGGCTGAGACGCATAGACAAAGAATCTTGAAATATAGAGAGGATTGTGGTAGACTCATAAGAGAGGATTTGCACGTGATACTTGGAAAAAATAAGTGGATCAAGATCAATAGGGAGCTAAAAGTGATGTGTTTCACACATGAGTGGGAATTTGTTGAGTAACTACATGTTTAACCCAAAATCAATGAGGAAAAGTACATCGAATTTACTACTGACTTGATATAAAATATAGAGATCCGACAATATTTGAATAGTCATTAGTCATGAGTGACTATTTTATATTTACCTTATCAATTCTTTAATCTATAAATGGGGTTGAATGCACTATAATTAATTACCAGATTGTCAGACAAAAAGCACCAATATAAATTTTTCGTTTATAGATGTATGTATGGTATACTGACGCAAATACGTTGTATGTAACTATGTATATCTTTTTGCTTTCTTTTATTCTTTTTCCTATCTCACACTAGGGGTGTCCATGGGCCGAGCCGAGCTGAGCTAGGGCCACGAAATTATTTTTGGGTTGGGCTTAAGTAGAGTAGGCCGAAGCCCTCACCCCGGTGAGTTATTGTGGGGGTCAGGTCGGACTTCAGGTAGAGTAGGCTACTCGCAACCCAACCTGTGAGTCTATTAGGTAAGGGACTTTCTGGGCGAGCTTGGCAGGTTTGCTCACGGGCTTTTTTATATACAACTTCATTTAAAAATAATAAATACTTTTGGAACTTAATATTTTTGTAAATAATATTTTTGAATCAAAAGTATAGTCAAAATAAACAAAAAATAAATAATGAATAATTTTAGTTTTTAATGGGGGAAACTGCATTACAATAGAATGAACACATTCCAACAA